GCATCCCCAGGTTTTAGTGCGTCCCTCAGCACATGGTCCTGGACCTTGGAATGCGCCAGTCTGCAACACTTGGTTGAGGTCAACTCCTTGTTCTGGAAAACCAACAAGTTTCGGGCAGATGAAAGAATGTCCTTCACCGAGTTGATGGGCCTCCAGGTGCAGCTGGTGTTTGTCTCGGTGTGTGTCCTGGGAAGCAGACCGTATAGCACAGAGTCCGCGTCACAGAGCTGCTCAGGACAAACCTTGACAGAAACCACTGCATCTTTCTCCAGACATTCTTTGCAAAGGCACATTGCAGCAGGAGATGTGTAACAGTGTCAACCCACCCCTGCAGCTGCTTCGAGGGCAGCATGTGGTGACGCAGACCGACTGAGGCCAGTTTGAACTAGTCACAGATGTTCATGAGTCTGCACACAGACAGCAGATTCAGCAGAAAACGGCGTTGTCATCCACATACAGGGAGGCGTTGACCTGCTGGCTTCTGCTGCCTGGAATAGTTACCCCTCTCAGGCTCGCATCCTTCCTGATGGACTCAGCAAAAGGCTCTATGCAACAGTCAAACAAGGCAGGACAGAGTGAGTAGCCCTGCCTGACTCTGAATCCAAATGGGAAGCCTGAATGGGAAGCTTTTTGATTCCCACCCATTTTTTAAAACTGCAATAATGATGTTGGTGTACAGCAGTCAAATCCAATTGCAGATTCCCTCCCCAGATCCTATTTTGGACAGCACGTTCCACATGTACGTGTACGATATCTTGTCAAAGGCCTTCTCCTGGTCCAAGCTGATGAGGCAGGCATTCACCCTCCCGTCCTGCACATAGGTAATCATATTCCTGAGGAGCGCGAGGCTCTCAGAGATCAACCTGCCCAGTATAACACAGGTTTGGTTGGGTTGGGGTGAAGCACCAATTCCACAGCAGACCTGACCTGGTTGGTGATGACCTTAGGCAGGATTTCATAATCTTCATTCAGCAATGAGATTGGTTGCCAATTTCTAATTTCCTCCCTCTCCCCCTTTTGCTTGTAGATGAGGGTGATGCTACCTTTCCTCATGATTTGCACATGATATCTGACAGAAGCATACCTTCATACACCTCCCACAGGTCCTAGCCAATCAAGTTCCGCACAGATGAATACAACCTGGCTGGTAAGCCGTCACTTCTGAAAGTTTTATTCCTTTCTACTCAAGAGCCTTTGTCAGTTCATCCAGATATAACAGCTGGTCCATCCTCTCCCCTGTGCTATCGTCTAAGACTTCCATGATAGACAACAGGAATGACTGTCTGTGGACTTCGTGTCATACAGACTGGCATAAAAGCATTTGCTGATCCTCAGTATGTCAGACTGAAATGATGTTACCGAGTTATCTTCTTCCTTCAGGCCGCTGAGCACAGAGTTCGCCTTGTGCACCTTCTGGAAGAAGAAACGCGAGCATGTTTCATCCTGCTCCATGGTGTGGACCTTGGAGCAGAAGATTTTCTTGGGGGCCTCTGAGGCAAAGAGGGAGGCTTGCTGGCTCTTTACTTCCTGGACATCATCCGTGATATTGACTCCCATCGTCTGCAGCAGGAGCAGGATCTGCATGGCTTTCTGGAGTTTGGACAGTTTTCTCTACCTCTCTCTGACCTTCTGAATAGCTTTGAGGATAGAGAACCTCTTGATGTTCCCCTTGACTGTTTCCCCCCAGTCCAGTGTAGAGTTAAACAGGGGCTTCATGGTTTTCCAACCTGTAATCCCTTCTGAGCTCCTCAATATTTTCTGGAGTTAACAGCTTTCACATTTAGCTTCCACATTCCCTTGCCGGCCCGCAGGCATCCTATAGGTGGCAGTCGGCCAGCAGGAAGCAGTGGTCAGAGAAGAACACCGGCTTGACATCAGTGGATCTGACTGAGAAGGTGTGAGATGCAAACAGGAAATTGATCCTTGAGCAGACAGACCCGTCTAGTGGCCACCAGGTGTATCTATGTTGCACTTTATCTGCTGGGGTGCTGAAAACGTCGTTCAGCTTGGCAACTTTAACTGTTTCCATAAGGAATCTGGAAGACCATCAAGTTTTGGGCAAACCAAATTTTTTTTTTCCTTCAAAAATATACTTTATTCATTAAAAAATGTCTTCGTCTGTATACGCTGTCACAAAAGCAGTTTGGTTCTGTATAGCTGCACATCAGTAAATAAACAAATCTACCCAAACAACCAAAGACCTATCTTACACGACAGTACTAATATTTACATATATTTGAGGCACTAGGAGGGTCCAATAACTGGAAGGACCCTCATTTACCTTCGGCAGGAAGACTTCAGACAGTGGTCTTTCCCCACTGTGCCTTGGCGGCAGCTGCCCTAAACTTTAGTGTGTCCCTCAGCATGTAGTCCTGGACCTTGGAATATGCCAGTCTGCAACACTGAGTTGAGGTTGGCTCCTTGTTCTGAATGACTAACAAGGCTTGAGCAGACCAAAGAGCGTCTTTCACTGAGTTGATGGTCCTCCAGCTCCAGCTAATGTTTGTCTCGGTGTGTGTCCTGGTGAACAGACCGTAGAGGACAGAGTCCTGTGTCACAGAGCTGCTTAGGACAAACCTCGACACAAACCATGCATCTTCTTCCAGACTTCCTTTGCAAAGGCATATTCCAGAAGGAGATGTGTCACAGTCTCAAACTCAACACCCCTCACCACCCCCCCAACCTCCGGCCCAGCCACTTCGAGAGCAACATGCAGTAGTGCAGACTGACATACGGGCATACATAAAGGATCTCCCAGGTACTGCCCTTATCAGCAAAAGCCAAGCAATGTCTTGGTGCTTGTTCGAAAGTTTGGGTGATGAGGCATTCTGCCAAATGACTTTGACAGTCTTCTCAGGGAACCATCCAACAGGATCCATCCTCTCCTTTTCCCTCAGGGTCCACTTCCTGATGGACTGCTAGTCAAAGGTGCTTTTCTTTGCAAATTTCTCGATGAAGGATAGGTGATATGGGATGTGGCAGCGAGGCCAGTCCCATCACTTGCAACACTGGGGGACAGGTAGAACCTCAGTATGTAGTGACACTTGGTGCTTGTGTACCAAGGGTCTATGTACAGCTTCATGCAGCCAAACACAAAGGTTTAAGGTTCTTGTGAAGATTTGTAGCTCGGGTTGTGGATGAGGTTGTTGCCTTGCTTGCTTTGCTGTCTAGTTATTTAGCTTCGTCTATCTAGTAGGCACCTGTGGATGAAATTGTTGAGATATCCGTTGTTCGTAAGTTTGATCCCAGTGAAAATGTTTTTGAAGAGATGGTGTGTTTCTTCTAACTTGGGATGTTTAATGATGATGCGTCGTCCACATATCGGATCCACAGTTCTGGCTGTATGAGGGGCAGGTTTGTGCGTTCCAGTCTTTGCATGACTGCCTCTGCAATAAGTCCTGAGTCCTGGGATCAAATTTACGAGAGAAGAGGAAGACAACAATCAACTTCCAATCCAAGACATCAGGGTAGAACGAATGACCAACGGGGAGTTCCAAACCACAGTACATAGGAAGGCAACCCACATTGACCAAATCCTCAATTTCCACAGCAATTACCCAATGTCCACAAACAAAGCTGTGTTAGGACATTATTCAAATGAGCCACAACACACTGCAACACGCCAGAACTATGCAGGAAGGAGGAAGAGCACCTATACAAGGTATTTGCTAATAACAGATATCCCAACAACTTCATGCGCAGGTGCCGACTAGATAGACAACGCCAAGAGGACACAGTATGCCCCAAGACACTGGCCACACTATCCTATATCAAGGACATATCAGAACTGACAACGAGACTCCTATGACCACTAGGAATCATGGTAGCACACAAACCCACAGCTACACTACAACAAACACTCACAAGGACCAAAGAACCCATACCCATGACATGCAAGACTAACATAGTTTACAAAAATACCTTCCAATGACTGCAACAAACATTACAATAGGTAGACTGGAAGGAAACTAGCCATCAGGATACATGAACACCAGCTAGCAAAACAACATGACAAACTTTCCATCATCACAGTGCACTCAGACAATGAGGCCATCAATTTAACTGGGACAACGTGACCATCCTGGCTCAAGCCAACAACAGACATGCACTGGAATTTCTATAAGACTGGTTTTCAACCCATAATGCAATCTAAAAACATGTGGAATTAGACCTCATATACAAACCCATGCAAAAAAGAACAGGAAATGGCACAACCCAACTTAACAGACCAGATCATATAAATTCCAAGTGGAGTAGAACAGTTTTGCTTCATTGGATGCCGCACTGATGTTACCCAGCATGGTGATGAAAGGTCTGTATGATAAAACACAAAGGTGGCCATCAGGAGGGCAACATTGGGAATGTTCTTCCCCCCCCATCCAGAGTTTTGTACATGGAGTTCCTGCAGACCCAGTCTATCTTAGGCTTCCAGATGAAATAGAAGATGGCTCAGGTGACTGAAACATCAGCGATGGGAGACAGGCCAGACCTGCGCCATTTACAGCATCAGAGAGAGAGTGCCTCACACCTGATAACCAGGTTTATCCCCGCAATGAACAGGGAACAGTGCTTCCAGAAGACCAATTTCTGCTTCACTTTGGCGATGCACTCCTCCAAGATTTTGTGCATGCCCTAGCCCCTCTGAGTCATATTCCCAGCAGTTTCAGGTAATCTGTCCTGAAGGTGAGGGGAATGAAGGATCGGTTGGCCCAATTCCCAAAGAATATGGCCTCGCTCTTGCCCCGATTTTTACCTTGGCTCCCGAGGCCAATTTCTGGCAGGGCAAAGAGCGGGAACGCTGTGGTCAACCCCATCAAAGGCTGCAAACTGTTCATGTTTTCCATAGTCACATAGTTCGGTATCTGTGACTGGAAAGTACATTACACCGTCCTCTCTGACTTTACCTCTGCCCTTCCTTGCCGTACCCAAGCGGCTGACAGCTGGGTTCCCACGTTCCAAACCGTTAGGGATCGCAGGCTGACTGTCCTCACGCGAGATCACGGCCCTCAACCCGACTCGTTTCCCATTGGACCAACGCTTCGCCAAACGTCACTAGGAGGTGGGGTTAGTGCTGAACAGCGGAAACAGGAAAGTAGTCTCGAGCCAGGTGAGTCTGAACGTTAGAGGCTGTCTGTGTTGGTGCAAGTGAGTGATTGCTGCTCAGTGTGGAGTAGGGGTTTGTAAATGGAGCGGCACAGTGCCGATCTCTCGACCCTGGGGATTGAATGTGTGAGCAGCTCCGTTAATCCCGTTGAAACTCCCGTCTCCTGCTGTTGTAAAGTGGATGGGGGTGGTTCGGCATGAGTTACAGGCGGCACCTGACTGTTCTGCAGACCGTTTCAAACTCTGTGCTTTTCTCGTGTTTTGGGGTCTGCGCTTCCTGCAGTCGGTTCATATTTAATATTCCCTCATCCTCAGTTTAAAGGTTGAGGTTTCAAGTCGCACTACAGGTCTTGTACGCGTGAATCCAGTCTGTCCATTATACTGAGGGGCAGTTGAAAATATTGTCTTTTGGATAAGATCGTCAGTTGAGACTAAATCTGCCTTTTCTGATGGATGTAAAAGATCCCATATCACTTTCTTGGAACAGGATAGGAGACCGGATATTGGTGCATTGACTAGTGTTTGTGGTGTAGTTATCTTTGGAACCTAGTCACCGTCACTAAAATTAATTGGTCTCCATCACTGTTTGTGGGAGCTTGCTGTATGAAAGTCCACTGATGTTTTTTCTCAATATTACGGCAATACTTTGAAAAACAAAAACAGAAATTGCTGATGAAAGCTTAGCAAGTCTGGGAGCATCTGTGAGAAGAAAGCAGAGTTAATGTTTGAGTCTAATGACTGCATGGTCAAACTGGTTTCTAATGAAAAGTCACTGGATTCGCAACATCAACTCTGCTTTCTTTCCACAAATGCTGCCAGACCTGCTGAGTTTTGCTACCATTTTCTGTTTTTGATTAAGATTTCCAGCATCCACAGTTTTTTGTTTTACTTCAGGAGTTCTTATTTGGCTGTGAAGTGCTGAGGGTCCATTAGGCAAAGAAAGAGTTTCAGAAGGACAAACACAAGTTCCCACATTTTATTCATGAGTTTATTTAGATTTTAGTGGTGGGCCTGATAAAGAAGACATAAGTGATATGTCAATAACAGTGTGGAGCTGGAAGAACACGGCAGGCCAGGCAGCATCTGAGGAGCAGGAAAGTTGACATTTTGGGTCAGGACCCTTCTTCAGAAATGGGGAGGGGGAAGGGAGCTCAGTAATAAATAGAGGAGGGGTGGGGCTGGGGAAGGTGGGTGGGATAGTGATAGGTGAGAGCATGTAGGGAGTAGTGGGGATTGGTCAGTGTGGTGGGACGGGTGGATAGGTGGGAGAGAAGATGGACAGGTTGTGTCAGGTCAAGGAGGTGGGGATGAGAGGGTGGCTTGGACATGGGATGGGGTTGGGGTTAGGGAGATTTTAAAACTGGTGAATTCCATTGTGCTGTCGGCTCCCAAGGTGGAATATAAGTGTTGCTCCTCTAGTTTTCAGGTGGTGCCATTGTGACACAATGGAGGAGGCCCAGATGGACATGTTAAGGTCCTTGGGTGACATTCCCCCTCCAGTGATTGAAAATGTCCTCAACCACATCTCTTGCATTTCCTGCACCTCTGCCCTCACATTCCCTCCCCCCCCAACAAAAATAAAGACAGAATCCCCCTTGTCCTCACATATCACCCCACCAACCTCTGCATCCAACATATTATTCTCTGCCACTTCTACCACCTATAATCCGACCCCACAACCAAAGAGATATTTCCCTCCCCACCCCTATCTGCCTTTCGTAGGGATGGCTCTCTCCGTGACTTCCCTCATCCGCTCCACAGTCTGCACTTAACCTACCACCCTGGAACCTTTCCCTATAACTGCAGGAAGTGCTACACCTACCCCTCCACCTTCCCCCTCACCTCCATTCAGGGCACCAAACAAACCTTTCATATCAGACAGGGGTTCACCTGCACATCCATCAACTTGGTCTACTGTATCCGCTGCTCCCAATGTGGCCTCCTCTACATTGGTGAGACCAAGTGTAGACTTGGAGACTGTTTTGTAGAGTGTCTGCGCTCTGCAGGTGACAAACGACAACACCTTCCAGTTGTCAACCATTTTAGCTCCCCCTCCCACTCCCTGGGTGACATGTCCATCCTGGGCCGCCTCCAGTGCCACAATGATGCCACACGCAAACTGGAGGAGCAACACCTTCATTTCCACCTTGGGAGCCTACAGCCCAATGGCCTAAACATAGAATTCACCAGTTTTAAAATCTCCCCACCCCTGGCCTCATCCCTGCCTCCTTGACCTGACACAACCTGTCCATCTTCTCTCCCACCTATCCGCCCCTCCCATCCCACTGAACAATCCCGACCATTCCCTACCTGCACCCACCTATCACCATCCCATTTACCTTTCCCAGGACCACCCCTCCTCTCTCTTTATTTCTGAGCTCTCTTCCCCCTCCCCTTTTCTGAAGAAGGGTCCCGATCCGAAATGTCAACTTATCTGCTCCTCTGATGCTGCCTGGCCTGCTGTGTTCTTCCAGCTCCATACTGTGTTACCGCTGACTCCAGCATCTGCAGTTCTTTCTATCTATAAATGATATGTTGTAACTTTTTGCTTTTATTGCCTGTCAGATTGTAACCCCATGTAAAGTCTGACATTAAATGAATAAGCACTTCTCGTGATCATCTTTTAAGATGCCCCTTAAAATTAATGTATTTGATCAAGTCTGTGGTCACATGTCAGCACACTGCATTATCTAGCTTGGTGTCAAATTTTGTAATGCTCCTGTGAATTGCCTTGGGATGTTTTATTACATAAAATATACTGTATAAATGCAATTTGTATTTATAGTTGTAAATAATGGATTTACTCTGGTAATTCTGCACACTTAAATTGGTCTGCAACTATTTTCCTGTACATTATTTCAGTGGGCAAAAATAGGTCGTCTGGAAATTCTTTTTGTATGTTAATTTTAAATTACTGCTTGATCTTTCAAAACTTTTTATAAAACGGGCGTCAGCAAAGTATTTGGAAGTGGCTTTCTTGTTATATGGGATATTGTAGGCCAAATTTTTTAAAAGTAATTTTAAGATAAGTACATCTTTACGCTGCTGTTTGAGATTAGTGCAATGAGACCTTCGTTATGTTCACCTGATAGTAAATGTGATTGATTATCTCATCCAAGATTGTACCTCAGTTGTGCAGTACTGCCTCAGTACTGTAGTGAAACAGCTGAGATTTAGAGGTGATCTTAGCACTGTAAACCACAAGAAATAGGAACAAGAGTAGTCTGTTAGACTTCTCCAGCCTGCTTTGTCATTCAGTATGAATTTGGAAAAAAAATTTTACGAAGTGTGTTTCCCAGCTGTAAAAAGATCGAAGTATAGAATTGGCAGTCAAGCAAGAAAAGTGTGAAAAAGTTTGCATTTTAACATCATCAAGGAAACGCCTTTATACTACCAGAAAAGGGTTAAAGTAGATGTTGCCTTACCTGACTATAGGGCTGCTGTCTCATTAGAGAGAGATCACTGCTGGTGGTTTAACCTGAGGATCACCATGCCTCCAGTGAGGGGCAGGCCAAGAAGGAAAGTCCTTCATGATAACCCCAGCCAGTATGGCATCACTCTGCATTGCAAGACAGCTAACTAAGCTAACCACCCCACCATTTCAACCTCACTCCCCACCCCCGCACTCAATCCCATTCAGGTACTGATTTCCAGACAACCTCTGGGTAAAAATATTTCTCTTTAATTCCTTTCAAGTTTGCCAATTACTTTAAATCCCTGCCTTCTGGTTAACAATCAGTCTGTAAAGGAAATGGATCCTTCCTATCCACTCTTTCTAGATCCCTCATAATTGTATGCACAGTATCAATGTTCCAAAGCAAAAAAAGCCCAGCCTAATTAATCTTTCTTTTAGCCTAACATTTTCAGACTTGGCAGCATTTTTTTTTTTGTTCATTCAGGGGATTGCGTCTTTGTTGGTTGAGCCAACATTTATTGTCCTTTCCTAATCATTCTTAAGAAGATGGTAGTGGGCTACTTTCTTGAAATGTTACAGCACCTGTACAGGAACAGCTATGTATTTCCAAGTTAAGATGGTGAGTGCCTTGGAGGGGAACTTGTAGGTGGTGGTGTTCCCATTGTACCTGCTGCACTTGTCCTTTGAGATGGTAGTGGTAGTGGGTTTGGAAGATGATATCTAAGGACTCCTGGGGAATTTCTGTATGAAAACTTGTAGGTGGTGTGTTAATGATGTGAATGTTTATCGAATTGGTGTTAATCAAATAGGCTGTTTTTTTATGGATAATACCAAACTTCTTGATTATTGCTGGAGGTAATATTATCCAGGCAAATGGGGAGTGTTCTATCACTCTGTTTTGAGCTTTGTAGATGGAGGACTTTGAAGTCAAAAGTTGAGTCACTTGTTGCATGATCTGTAACCTCTGACCTGCTCTTGTAGCTTTGGTGTATATATACAGCTGGATCAGTTTAGTTTATGGTCAACAGCAACTTCCACGATAGTGGAGATTCAGTGAGGTAACGCAACTAGATGTTAAGGGGTGATTATTAGACTCTCTTATTGAAGATGGTCATTACTTGGTATTTGTGTGGCACAAATGTTACTTTCCATTTTCAACTCAAGCCTGGATGTGGTCCAGGTCTTCCTGTATTTCGACATAGACTGCTTCAGTATCTGAGGAGTTGCAAATGTTGCTGAACATGGTGCGGTCACCAGCAAATATCCCCACTTCTGACTTTATAGTGGAGGAAAGGTCACTGATAAAGCAACTAGAGACTGTTGGGCTTAGAACATAAGCTTGAGGAAATCCTGCATTGGATGTCCCGGAGCTGAGATGACTGATATCCAACAACGACAACTGTCTTCATTTGTGCTAGGTATGACTCCAACCAGGAGTCAATCAGGAGAATTTCCTCCTGATTCATTGACTCTCTTGTTCAGGCTATTTGATGCCACACTGTCACATGTGGTCGTCATGTCAATTCTCGCGTTCCCTTCTTACATTCAGCTCTTTTGTTATGTTTGAGTCAAGCCTGTAATTACGCGTGCACTTAGTGGCCTTGGCAGAATCTAAATTGGGCGTCAGTAAGCGGGTTATTGCTCAGCAAGTGCAGCTTGATAGCACTGTTGATGACCACTGCCAAGATTTTACTCGTGTTCGAGATTAGACTGATAGGGTGGTAATTGACTGGGTTGGATTTGTCCTGGTTTTTGTGTACAGGTTGATGGACAGTTATCCAAATTGCTAGGTGAATGCCAGTGTTCTAAGTATATTGGAACTGCTTGGCTACGGGAGTGCCAGGTTTTGAAACACAAGTCTTGGGTACTGTTGCTGGCATGTTGTCAGTGACCTTTGCAGTATCTAGTACATTCACCCATTTAGTGATCTTATGGAGAGTCAATTGAGTTGACTGAAGGCATCTGTGTTGCTTGTCTTTCCAGGGGAGTTAAGATGGATCATCTACTCGATACCTCTAACTGAAGATTGTTTCAAATGCTTGAGCCTTGTCTTTTGCTACTCCATTATTGAAGATGGAGATATTTGTAGAGCCACCTCCTCCTCCATTGAGTTTTTTTGGTCCACCACCACCACCACCACCACCGCTACCATTCACAGCAACATCCTTGTCAGTCTCATCTGTACACACTCTAGTGTGTTCTCGTTGTTCTTGCATTATCAAATTGTCTATCAGAGATGCAAGTGACATGCTCTAGACTGTGTGAAAACCATTACATTTTTAAACAACTCATGATATTGTTCTGTTTTATATTTGACAACAGGAGTGAATGCTAAATGATGTTCAAAGATGTTTAACAACAGTACACAGAAGAGATGTTGGCTTTTTCAGAATGAAGAAATATTAGAAAATATGAGAACTGAAGCCAATAAGAAATTTCAGACAAAGGTTCTGGCATGTGGAAAGGTAAAATATATTTTTGAGATATTTTCAGAAATAATTGTTTGTAGAATTGAGTTATCATGACATCAGGAAGTGGTTGGAGGCAATGCAGAAATTTGCAAAAAAGCTCAGACACCACCTTCCAAAGCACAACCACTTTCATCTTTGCATGACAAGGGCAGCAGGTACATGTGGACACCACCACCTGCACTTGGAAATATGTTGCCGTTCCTTCACTGTTACTGGGTCAAATTCCTGGAATTCCCTCCCTACCAGCATTGTGGATCTACCTAAAGCCACATGGATTGCAGCAGTTCAAGAAGGCGACTCACCACCACCTTCTCCAGGGTATTTAGGAATGGGCAATAAATGCTGACCCAGCCAGCAACACTACATCCCAAGAGTGAGTAAAAAAAAAATCGGTAGCCACGAAACTCTATTGCAATAATGGTAAAACTCAGTATTGATCATTATTACACCCACGAAACTCCACAAAAAACTCTGGTGTTTGCCAACGTGCAGTTGAACTCCGGCATCTACAAGTTGCTGTCAGTATTTCTCCACTCTTTCACAGGTCGAAGTCCTAGCAGATACAAATCTTGGATGTCATGATTAATTTCCATTTTATAATACTTTTGTTTAGCAGGAAAAGCCCTTGAAAACATTGCACCTTGTAGAATGAGGTGTACTAACTTGTAATTATCTTTGACTACTCTCTCTGACCTGAATAACTAATTCTTGTGTTTTAAGTTGTTTTAATGTCAGTCAATTAATAGGCCTGTGTGCACCTTTTGTACAAAGAGTTTTGTTTTAATGCCTCTCTAGCACTGGATCAGCAGTGTTCCAGAGGCAGAGCTTGAGAGGTAATAAGCTTAAGATGATTAGAAGGAGTTAGCATTGCTCCTTTTAACTTTTTTAAGTTAATTTTTAAAAAAAAAAAGTTCATTCATGAATATAGTAATTCAGCAAAGTAATTATATCCTGCAAGGTTAAATAACGTTTTAAAGATTTCTTTTCTGATGAGAAAGTTTCTATAGAAACTAATTACAGTGTTTACATTAATCACGATGATCATCTAATTCATTTAATGCTATTTCACTTAGAGTTGCCCTTTTCAGGAACACATCTACGGTGTTATGTAGATTAATACTGTACTAAATCCTGTGTATGTATTATTTATTTCATTTTGTGAAAATACATAATTGTTCTGACAGAGTTAATGTTAGAAAATGTGATAAGCTTCATCCTTGTGATGATATAGAGACTTTGGGCAGAGAAAAGTCAAAATATCTTACAATCTCAAAGAAAACAGACCTATATTCTACAATCAGCTGAAATACTAGAGGCTGTTATTAAAGATGTTATAGGTAATTAGGCAGATTCAACATGGTTTTGTGAAAAGGAAATTAAGTTTAACCGATTTATTGAAGATCTTTGAGGAAAATACTTGTGCTGAGATAAAGGAGAGTCAACTTAAATTTCCAGAAGCATTTGGTATATGAGAGGTTATTGTGGAACATACAAGTGTATGCGATATTATTGGCAGGTGTAACGAATGCCGTGTCACAGGGATGAATGGAGCATCAACGTTTTATAATTTCGTGTAGCTAACTTGGATGAAGCGACCAAAGTTATGGTTATTACATTTGCTGATGACACCAAGATAGATAGGAAAGTAAGTTGCAAGGAGGCATAAGGAATCTAGAAAGGGATAATAGATAGATTAGGTGGGCAAAGATCTGATAAAAAAGTTAGAGAACAGCTGGTCCAGGAAAAAAAAAACAGATCTTGACCAACCAGTCAAAGTACAAACAATAGAAGCTTTCATTGGGCTTTATAGACTTGTAATGGAACTCAAAAATAAGAATTATTCTGTTGACATTGGCATAAGAAAATTATTCCATTATTTAAACAGGATGGAAATCTATGCTTACATAGGATTGGCACAATGTTTTCCACTCCATTCCTATCATCACTGAAGAAAACTCAGATGACAGAAACCAGTGTAGTTTGTGAGAAGATACTAACCTTCTTGATCTCATTGTCAATGTTTAGATGAAATTGTCCAGAACCCAAGTGAGTCAGCGTTTTTACAGCACGGAAAGAGGTCCTTCAGCCATCATATCTCTGATCATCAAACATCCATCCATTTTAATCCCATTTTCTAATCACTTGGCCAGTAGCCTTGTATGCTATGGCATTTCAAGTGCTCAACTAAATAAATTATTGAGAGTTCCTGATCTGTCAACTGTTTTAGGGAATGAGTTCTGATACCCACTATCCTAGGTGATTTTTTTTTTTCTCTCAAATCCCCTCTAATTCTCCTGCTCTTTACTTTAAAACTGCCCTCAGCTGTTGACCCCTTCACTGTTGCCCCCAGGGGAAGAGTTTTTTCCTATCTATCCTATTCATGCCTCTCAACTTTGTTTACCTTAAGCAGATCCCCCCTCAGCCTTCTCTATTCTAAGGAAAACAACTCATCCTATCTAGTCCCTCTTCATAGCTGAATTGCTCTAGTCTTGAGAATCTCCTCTGCACCCTCTCTAGTGCAGTCACATCCTTTGAAGACTGTGGTGACCAGAGTTGCACACAGTGTGGCCTAATTAACATTGTATACGCATAGTAGCTTGATAAGGAGGAGCAGCAGATTTGGAGATATTATGCATTGTTTCCTTGTCTAAATCATTAATCTATGTTGAGAATGGCTGGTGTCCAAGCGCTGACCCAGCGTATCCCATTAGTTACTGCCTGGCATTCAGAAAAAGATCCATTTACTCTTACTCTTTGTGCCTACTATTTTTCTGTTCATGAATATACACTTTCCCCAATCCTATGTGTGCTAATTTCACATGCCAGTCTGTTACGTGGGACTTCTTTTGAAACTCTTCTGACAGTCCAAGTAATCCACGTCCATTGGCTCCTCCTTATCAAGCTACTATTTCCATCTTAAAAAAAATTCCAGTAGATTTGTCAAGCATGATTTCCTTTTTGTGAATCTGTGCCGAATCTGTTCGATCTTGTCACTGTTTTCCAAGTGGTCTGCTTTTAAATCTTTTACAAAAAAGACCTGCATTTTCCTAGTATCAGTGTCAGTCTAATTGGTCTATAATTCCATTCTCTCTCCACTTCCTTTTTTAAACAGTGCGGTTACATTAACTATACTGTAGGAACTGTTCCACTACCTAAAGAATCTTGACCACCAATGCATCTACCAGGGCCAATTCTTTAAGTAGTCTGGGTTGCAGATTATTGGGTTCTAGGGGATTTATCGACCTCTCTGTGTGTCTCTACCTAGAAGTGCATTGTGCACACGAACGGGCTTTTAATCCCATCAATTTCCCGACACCATTTCCCTGCTAACTATGATTTCCTTCCATTCCTCCATCTCACTAACCCCTGTGTCTCAAAAATATTGGAGAGTATAGGAGCAGGGATATCTTGCTGCAATTGTATAGGGCCTCAATGAAACCACACCAGGAGTATTGTGTGCAATTTTTGGTCCCCTTCTCTGAGGAGGAATATTCCGACAATGGAGGGAGTACAGTATAGATTTACCTGGAATGGCAGGTCTGATGTATAAGGAGAGACTGGATTGGTTAAGGCTATATTCAATAGAATTTAGATCTATGAGGCAGATCTAATAGAAACCTCTACAATTCTAACAGGACTAGACAGGGTAAATGCAGGAAAGATGTTTCCGATAACCAGGGAGTCCAGAATCAGATGTCACAGTTTAAAGGTATGGGATAGGCCATTTAGAACTGGGGTGAGGAGAAATGGCACCAGAATAAAGTTAATTTTGGGAAAGAGGTGAAATCCATGCCACAAAAAACATTAGAGCTTTGTGGGCATCATTCTTCGAGGTCCGTGACATGTGCCATCTCTGAAGCTGCTGATTGCAAAACTCAGACCAAAGTCTGTTAAAACAATGTGTTCCACCTGTTGATTTTTGTCAGCCTTGGATTCTGTTTGGAAATTTCAACTTCAGAATATTAAAATTCTATATGATGAGGGGTTCGTAAATACTAATGGTTCTGCTTTTGACTGCTTTCTTCAAGCGTGATTTAAATCAAGGTAAGGGTACACAAATGTAGCACATGAAATTCAAAATATTTTTAGGAACCAATTATTTGAAAAATAGAAATATGATGCACAATTATTATGAAAAAACAGCATCTAATTTCCTTCGATAACATTTCATTATAGGCTTGATCAGTGAAGATTGTATAAATTTTAAGTTGAGGAGAATCAAATATTGAATTTTAGAAAACTGTGCAACTAAAGAACTTGCAATTGTTTTGATTTGTCCTTCCCAAGCAGACAGTCAGAATTATTCGGAGTTGAAGCTATCACTATTGAATTGTTTTTCTATTTATATGTTTATTTTGGACTGTGTTTAAGATTGATATGGCTGCAAATAACCCATTATTTAGTGGATCCTCGCTTTGACTGAAGACAATTCTTATAGTTGCTCCATTTCTTCAAATAGTGTTGAATGTGATATGTTACTTTTGGCTAACAAATTGGTCAGAATCTAAAGAAAATTCTTCTTTTAAATTGATTGGACTAATTTTTCAAAATAAAATTATAAAAGGCAGCATAGATTCTGTTAGAATTCACCACCTCTCTCCTTTCTTCGCTTTCTTCACCCCCTTTTCCCCAGAAAGGTGAATTTAAATGTATTTAAAGCCTTTTCCCACTTTTATTAAAGAGAAAAATATTGATTTGCTATTTTCCAGTTATTTGCCTTGATAATGATTGCTTTGCTTTGGTTTTCCTGAACAGCTTTCTCCAGTGGCGTTACTGGAGCCTCAGGAAGAGGAGGTACTACGTAAATACTATGAAAAAAGACTGTTGGAATTCTGCTCTGCATTTAAACCCATCATGCCTAAATCCGTGGTGGTAAGAATACATATCTCATATTTATACAAAGAGTGAGAGTCGTTTTGTGATTTATTCATTGACTTTTAGAATACTGCATTCAATTCTGGTCTCGCTGCTATGGGAAGGATGATATGAAACTTGAAATGGTTCAGAAAAGATGTATAAAGATGTTTCCAGGGTTGGAGGGTTTGAGCTATAGGGAGAGGCTGAATAGGCTGGGGCTATTTTCCCTGGAGCATTGGAGGCTCAAGGGTGACCTTTTAGAGGTTTATAAAATCATGTGGGGCACAGATAGGGTGAATACACAAGGTCTTTTCCCTGGGGTAGGAGATAGTCCAAAACTAGAAGGCATTGTTTACAATGAGAGGGGAGAGATTTTAAAGGGGACCTAAAGGGCAGCTTTTCACTCAGAGGGTGGTGCGTGTATGCAATGAGCTGCCAGAGGAAGTGGTGGAGGCAGTTACAATTACAATATTTAAAAGGCACCTGGATGGGTATATGAATAGGAAGGGTTTAATGGCATATGGGCCAAATGCTGGCAAATGGGACTTAATTTATTTAGGATGTTTGGTCGGCAGTGACGAGTTGGACCAAAGTGTATGTTTCTGTGCAGTACAGCTCTATGACTCTATGACCATGCATGTTAACTGTCCCTTCAGCCTTTTCAATTTGCATCATTGGGAAACACTGCATGTTTAAGATCTGATTTTTATGTGAACAAAATTAAGTAGCAGAACAATTTCTTTAAAAGAAAGTGATTGGGTGCTTTTACTACAATTGTTTTAAATAACACTACATATTGGTTGCATAAAAGGCCAAATGTGGTTCATCAAAGTCTACTTATTATCTTCATTTAAACATCCTTCTATCTATTGCACGTGTGTATGATTGATTGTGAAAGCATTGTCTATATGTATTTCGTTTAGGGAACCGCAAGTATGTATTTCAAGAGATTCTTTTTGAATAATTCCGTAGTGGAATATCATCCAAGGACTATAATGTGAGTTTTTGTCTGTTTCCTGACTGGCTTGCTGTTTGCAAAGTTAGTAATTTCTCCAGATTACTGATGATAATTTTCAAAGAGCTGTTAATTTAAGTTTTATTTTATTTCTGTATTTCATCTGTAATAAGATAATAATATCAAAACCTATCAATAAATTACATAAATTCTTCCCAGATTACTTGTAATGATCATTGTGGATACCGGTATAAATATACATTTTTGATTCAGTGTTATGGAAATATGTTGCAATTTGTATTTCGAAAATAGCCTTTTCTTAATTCCTACTTTGTAATTGCTGTTGTTCAGAACTTACTGTTTTAATTTTATTATGGTATGACCAGTTGAGGAGGAGTGAATTGGTTCCTATTTTTAAACTCCCTCAGTTGGCTGAAAATTTTTTTTAATTTTTACCAAGCAGCTATATTACACTTTAAAGTAGTTCATGAGATCAAATGAAGGAACTAATTACAAGATTTTCTTGAGGGTGGCATGGTGGCTCATTGGTTAGCACTGCTGCTTCACTGCGCCAGGTAACTGGGTTCAATTCCAGCCTTGGGTGACTGTCTGTCTGTGTGGAGTTTGCAAGTTGTCCCCGTTTCTACATTGATTTCCTCTGGTGCTCCTACAGTCCAAAGATGTGTGGGCTTGGTGGGTTAGCCGTGGTAAATGTGCGGTTACAGGGCTGGGTCCGGGTGGGATGGCTTTCAGAGGGTTGGTGCAGGCTTGATGAGCCGAATGGCCTCTTTTCACAACCTAGGGATTGTATGAAATAAGAGGAATTTTATTACATACGCTGACAAAAATTATTAAAATGTGGCATCAAATATATACAAACATAGCCCTGGAGTTTGAAAAGGGAAAAGTGTTTGTTACAAAAAGAATGATCAAGTGAGAAATGCTTAGCGGCTTTGAAGAGTTAGATTATAACCTGAGACTGCAGTAGTTTAATTCATGCCTTGCATCCTGACTTCTCAGTGAATGGATGTTGTTCTAGTTTGCTTTATAATTGAGCACTATTTCTCAAGAACCTGTAAGAGGAACTGAGGAAGGGAGAGGGATCGGGATCGGGATTGGGATCGGGATCGTTCTGCTGTTACAAATTCATATTTTCTGTTCTCTCTGTGCAAAATCTGTTTCCGGAAATACAATTGTGTATTCCCATGTCTGGTTTCAATTTTTGTTCAAGCTGGATAACCTGCAGGTGACTTCCATCCTATGTGTGAAACTTCCAGAAAGATGTGACTCAACCAGGAGATACAGATTGGCATCTTGCTGCCTGTTACTATAACAATGGCTTAGATAGAACCTTATTTATTGGTTTCCTAAAGTTTGTGCCACCTGGTTAGCTGACCGTTGTGGCCATATTAATTCACTATTTTTGTTTTTGTTTTAAGAAGAATCTACTTTAGGTCATGAAAGATCTTGGAGCTGAAATGGAATTCAAAAATTGATAGTCCATTTTTTTAATCATTGCCATAACTGTGTGACATTACTGCTTACAGAAGATTAAAGGATGTAAGCCTTGAAATTAATGAATGATTAAGGTGAAGTAAATCAACAATGTTTTTCACTGGTTTGCGAGACCATAATGAAAGGGCACAAATTGAAGATAATCACAAGGTCTATGTGCAGAAACTGGTTAAATGTGGTATTCTAGACCATAAACGGATGATGAAGTAAAGTTATAAATTAGTTTAAAAGTAAGATTATATAATCTTTTGATAAAAGGGGAATATTAATATATAAGGAGTGACAAAGAAATGAGATTCAGTGTCTTGTGCAGAGTTTCAGAAAGAATTGCTAAATTGAATGGCCTTTGAGCTGTAATATAATTCAATTTTGGAAGTCTGTTTCATTAAATCTTTTTATTCTCTTTCTGGTTCAGGTTGACAAGTGTATACTTAGCGTGTAAAGTGGATGAATTTAATGTCTCCAGTTCCCAGTTTGTTGCTAATCTGTGGGAAAGCCCTGCGGGTCAAGAGAAGGCTTTGGAACAGATCCTTGAGTATGAACTGTTGCTTATTCAGCAGTTGAACTTTCATCTCATTGTCCACAATCCATTTCGACCTTTTGAGGGTTTTCTTATTGATCTAAAGGTATCATGCCAACAGTGATTGAATTTGTAATTCTGAAGTCTTGGGTGTGTTGAAAGTTTGAAACAGTTTGTTTATCGTTATATGTAGAAATGTCTTTAGCGCAGTAACTGGTATGCATGTTTAAGCATTCATTTTATTTCTGTTTGCAAAATTCAACAATAATTAATTCTCACTGTGAACACTCCTATAAATGGTTATATTAGTGCAATGATAAAAAGGTAGCGCATGAATATTATTGTTACAATTCTTGTAGATATTGATTTTTTTAAAAAAAATAGTTAATTCCTAGTGATTTACTCGAAGGATAACACAACAATGACTTTCAAATCCAAACCAGTTGTTGAGACAGAAACAAAGACTCATTGCTTTGTGAATAGAATTTATTAACTTCTTGGTCTTTGTTATTGAAAACCCACCACTAAATCGCCCATTTGCATCTACTCGAGCTTAATGCCAGCCCCACCTGTTCCCAATGTATATTTCCCAGTCAATTCATTTATCAATTAACCCAATCACCTACTTAACTAGCTAACAGATTCCCTTCCTCTTCCTTGAACAACACTAAATAAAATGTTGTTTTCATATTCTATATATTATAAGCGATTAATAATAGGAAAATTATATTTTTTCATTATTCATAAAATAGTCAACCTTCCATATTCCCCTTGTTTTGAACAGATTGTTATGATATGCCTAATCACAAAATGGTCTGAACAAAAATGGATTTTTGTTTGCTTTTTTAAAGATATATCTCCTCATACTATTCAAGCAGTGATTTCCAATGTTTTGCATTTGTGAGAATCTCAACTGGTGGCTTACATCAACCCACTGTATATTGACAATTTCTTTCTAACATTTCCTTTATGCTAGCAAGGCCAATCCTTAACTATTTGTCAGTGACAATCTTTGTTGAATGTACACTCCCCCAGAGAGAACACTTATCCACACAACATTCTATGGGCAACATTTTCTCAAATTGTCTTTTATCTAATATTCTAAAGGAAATATTATATATGTGCACATCTGTATGGCTTCTGATCATGCCAATGTCTCATAACTATCCTTTCTATTTTCTTAGCTTTTCTGACCAACAGACACCATTGATTGTTAATGTTTCGGGTCCGGTGACCCTTCCTCGGAACATTCTGAGGAAGGGTCACTAGACCCGAAATGTTAACTCTGATTTTTTTCTTCACAGATGCTGCCAGATCTGCTGAGCTTTTCCACCAGCTTCTGTTTTTTGTTCCTGATTTACAGCATCCACAGTTCTTTCGGTTTTTATTTCGACACCATTCATTGTTCTTCCTGAACAAGATATATCCTGCTATTTGTGAATAGCCATCCAGAAGTTTGGCATGTAAACCATTGTGAAAAAGGACTCACTTTGTGTCTTCTGAGACACATATAAAGCTGGAAACTTGAATGTACATTTTTCCCTATTTAATTTCTTTATTGCGTTATTCATTCTCAACCCTTCTCAACAGTAGCATGTTTCATCAAAATACTCGGATGCAATCCATATTAATAAGCACGTCTGAGTGCACCAATTTAACTGTCCACTCAACCTTTTTAAGTGGTCTTTTTACTTTCCCTTTTGGATGCAAAATCCTCACTGAGGTCCTTCCCAGATGACATTACTGAATCAGATGGATTTTTATGACAATGGTGGTTACATGGTTGCTTTTGGACCAGCTTTTAATTCCAGGTTTTTATTTAACTCAGATTTCACCACATGCCATTATGTGATGCAAACCCATGTCTCTAGAATATTAAAGTGGGCTTTGATTGCTTGCACAGTGAAGTTACCACTATGCTAACACCTCTCCTTGCTGAATGTTCACCTACTTTCAGCAAGAAGAACCGATTGAGAAATATTATACCTCCACTGTAGTATTCAACCCATAAACACACTTGTTTACGTCCATAAATACCAAAAGAACTGTGGATGCTGTAAATCAGGAACAAAGTCAGAGTCAGAGAGTCTGACCTGGAGTCTGAGCTGGAGTCAGAGATAACGCTGTGTGGAGCTGGAGGAACACGGCAGGCCAGGCAGCATCAGAGGAGCAGGAAAGCTGATGTTTCTGGTCGGGACCCTTATTCAGAAAAATGACATGAAAGTCAGGATGATTACTTGGCAACTTCAGCTCATCACTTGCTTCTGCCACATCTGCCATCCACCTCCAGGTCCCGGTCAGCAAAGCAGGGTACCAATTCCCTTGTCCGACATTTCTATGGCTATTGACGCAAACTATATAGGGTGGAGGGGGGTGGGATGGGTCAGTGAATTAACAAGGTGTACAGCTGGATGAACACAGCAGGCCAAGCAGCATCAGAG